ATCCCAATATAACTCTTAATTGAAGATAGTTTGTGAGAACGTATGAGGCTCTTTTTGATGTATGGAAGGGCTAACACATCTGCTCTTCCCTAGCCTAGTGGAAGAAAATTTAGATAGTAGGGTTTTTTAGTTGTACTCTAGTATTTTTTGGTTACTAACATCCAATGAAGTTCTATTTTCTGCTTATTTTCAGTAGTTGTGTCTAGCTAGTTATTATGGAAATGTTTCTACATTTTTATAAATTGTTGAAAGTTAAAAGTCATATATTATGGAACAGAAAATGTTAATTCTGATTAAACAATACCCTCAACATTGTTCTGTTTATACCTCTTAAAGAACTGCACAGTGAATCCAAAAGAAAGTATCCTGAAAAGAGTGAAGGATGTTGGATATATTTTTAAAGAGAAATTTGCCAAAGCCGTGGGACAGGGATGTGTTGAAATTGGATCACAGGTAACTTGAGTTCATTTTGATTAGTGCTACTATATAGTAATAATTTTAAAGACAGCGTCTGTCTAGATTATATAAATACTGTAATAGTCTTTATCCAATAGTATAAAATACTGGCAGATACTATATTCCGGCTGCTTGTGTATGCTGCTATTTATGGGAAACTTTATGGGAAACCACCCCTTGCTCCATTACAAAAAAATAAGTATACATGCCAAGTGTAGAAATTTTAGAAAATATTAGTAAGAAACAAAATTAGAATCTTTGATATTATTAAATTTTTGATGTATATGCTTTGACTTCTACATATATGAATATTCATGTATACATATGTGAATGGGGTCATACTATACATGCCATTTCTCAGTAATCTTATTGAGTGATAGTATTATTTCAGAAAATCTAAATATATTGATTGAGAGTATGGGCTTGGGAGTTACAGCCCTGGGTTTATATCTGGTTTTACCCTTGAGCTGTGTTGATCTTGGACGTGTCATTTAACTTCTCTGAGATTCAGGTTCTACATTTGCTCTGCTTTGTTGTATGGCATTAACGAGGGTAATATATAAAAATATGTTGGAAAACTGTAATCCACTGTACACATTTATTTCAGTGTAGTGAGATTATATTTTGATGCCATCAGTGTTTTAAACATCTATATTTAACTGTTCTTTTTGGTTGTACAGTCATGTACCGCTTAATAACAGGATATGTTCTGATGTATGTGTTGTTAAGCAATTTTGTTACTATGCGAACGCTGTAGAGTGTACCTACACAAACCTAGATGGTATAGATGTGTGGAAAACCACACAAACTCAAAGCGCTTTTTTCTATTCTTTCACTCAACAACAACAACCAGCACAGAAGAATTCTGTGACCCCAAAATATGCGGGGAGTTCTCCCCATCAGCAAGCAAACAATCAGTTCTGCTGTGGATACTGGCTGGGTGTCCTCTAATTCAATGTTGACACTTTCTACCTGAAGATATCAGCAGATCCCACAGGTTGAGGGCTCAGTCTCTAAGATACCAACGGCAGGTCTGTGCCCCCAGAAGTTCTGACCAACCAGCTTCAAGTTGGGGTTCCCAC